ACCTACTAAGAAGGGAAGATGGCTTCACCTCGGCCACCCGGCCAAACAGGAAATGGCTAACCACTGAACAGAAGTTGCTAGTCATGATTGTAACTGACAGCTTGTTGCCCACGAACAACAAGAGCAAAGACGTGGGGAGCTTAGAGTGCACCTTTGCCTACTTTCCGAAACACAAGGTCAAGTTCAATCTACCCGCCCTTATGTTAAAACACATGGAATTTTTCAAGTTTAGCAACCGGCTTAGTCTACCCTACGGGATGATCCTAAGTTGGATCATGGAAAAGAAAGGGGTAGACCTAAGCCACACGGAAATCAAACCCGTAAGCGGGATGATTTTCAATGCCCAGAACCTCCGCCGCAACGACATCTACCATATCGGAGAGGGATAATACATCACCCTCGAGGAGGTTTGCCTAAAGCCTACGGAGGAACGGTGAGAGTTGGTTGATCAGTTAGAAATCTCCAACAAGAAACTAAGGCGGGCAATGCAAGAATGTGGGGAACAAGAAGAACAAGAGGAACAGGAGGAAGATAGCGAGCCTAACGCACCTGCACCTGCACAAGAGAGGGGGAATCCGGGAGGCCAAGATGAAGGAACCGTCAACGAGCGCATCCTCGCGCAACTCACCCGGCAAAACCAAATCATGGATGAAGGGTTTTCATCCCTAATCCACGCAACACACGCATTAGATCGGAGAGTGGTAGCAATAGAGGCCATATTGGGCACACACGGGGCATCTAGCTCGGGAGCAGGAAACCAAGGTAGACCCAAACTTCCCAAACACCACCTCACCAAGCTCCACTCTACCCCCAGCAAAACGACACGTGGAGCCGCATTTCCTAAACAGGAGGCTAAAATACGTGGCGTCCAGTGGTGAAAGAATGGATCCACACACCGGTTTCGGGTCGAAGCCTCTTGTAAGGGGGGGGGGGGGAGGGTGTAACACCCCGTGTTACGGCCTCTAACCCAAACTAATTATTTAATTACTTACCCTTAAAAGAGAATTAAATTCCCTTAATTAATTAGGAAGGGTCCACCATAGACCACGGACCCTTATCGCTGAACCAAACCCTTAGTCCTATAAGAAATAGAATTAGTAAATCCATACCATTCAGATCCTAATTAGGACTCTTAGATATATATAAGGACATAGGAGCCACCTAGAATTCACACCACAATAGCTTTCACAACACAAGAATTTCCAAGAATTCCCCTAGGAGAAATCAAGAAGAGGAGATCTTAGAGAAAGAACATTTATAGCCAAGGATTCTAATTAAGGCTAAGAGGTAACCCCTGTCTCAACAAAACCTATTTTCATTGAAATAATCTTCTTCTTTGGCTCCTTTTGATATACAATTCTATGCTTGTGTCTTGATAAATCTTTTATGAGGATTATGATATAATCTTGATGTTGATTAGATGATCTCATGTGTTGATCTTGATAATCTTGATGATTATGAGAAGAACTTGATAATTGCGTGTCATTCTTGATAAATCTTGATGTTCTTGATTTTAAAGATAAAGTATGATTTTGTGATTTAAATATGATTAGAGCCCTAGGTTAAATCGTGAGTTTCGTATTGTGATATTCTTGGTATATTTGGGTGGGATTTTGCATGATCGGGTGTTAATTATGTTTAGAAGTCATGTTAGGATGTATTTAAATGTGATTCTTGGTTTTGATCCATTATTTGACTACGTGGGGTCGTCGTTTGCGTTTAAAAGTGTCTAAACATGATTTCGGGTTCCACGAAAGATCCTGGGACCAAAGTATTGCAAAAGAGTTAGTGCGGGTAGGTGGGGGTAGGGGAACCCGCCACCTACCCGCTGCCCCTTAGGGTGTCGCCGGCAGCGGGCAGGCGACTGCCCGCCGGGCACCCGCTGCCCAGCAGTTCGCCGCCGGCGGGTAGCCGGCTGGTGGTCCTCCACCCCCCGGCCACCCACTGGAAATTCCCAATGCGGGATGGTGGCCTGGTTTCCCCGTCTGATGTTCCCCGACACCCGAGGTGTCCCAACGGACCCCGTTTGTTCTGCCTGAGTCTAGTTTGATGTTTCGGGTACCATTCGTAGGATAAAAGAGTCTTGTGTATTATATGCTAGTTGAATTGGTATCCCGTTGGCCTAGGTGAAAGATGTATGAACCCATTAGGGATATTCCTAGTATGTGGATGACCACGCATAAGTTTATTTATACGTTTTCTCCCCCTTCCCAATGTGCTAATGTGGGTTGCATGTGCTTGCTATGTGTTATGTGTGCATGATACCCCAATTTGGTTGCGATCAAATTGGCTATACGGGAGGTTGGATGGGTTGAGAAACATCGGCTGTTAACCAGGCCGGTTGCGATTGGTCAGGTATATAAATATTATATAGGGCTGCGGTCCACCGTTTGGTTGCGATCAAACGTTATACATGAGCTGCGGTTCATAATCTGGTTGCGATCTGAAATACAATTTTTGGGCTGCGGTCCACCGTTTGGTTGCAATCAAACGTTATGATGAGCTGCAGTTCATCGGTTGGTTGCGATCAACCCCTTCGTGCTGCGGTACGAGGCAGGGTGCTGCGGACCCGTGTTAGCGCTATATGCGCTGACCCTCATGTATGGGCATGCGATTGGTCCTGTGGCGCCACCAAAGTGTGCTTATGTGTTGAGATAATGATTGAATAATGATATGAATGATGTGAAATGATCTTGTGACCTTAGGATATATGCTAGTATCTTTATATGCATGATTATATCTGTTGAATATGCTTGTCCCTACTTGTTGAGTCTATTCTCGGTTTTAAAGCTAGAGTCTCCTAAGTATATATCTTCCGGCTTCAAAATGGTTTTCCTATATATATATATATATATATATATATATATATATATATATATATATATATATATATATATATATATATATATATATATATATATATATATATATATATATATATATATATATATATATATATATATATATATAGACTTGCGTTCAAATGAGGACAGGTATATTATAGAGGACTGTGAGGACGGATGTAGTGTGTGCCATTAGCCTGTATGTTGTGTGCATGGCCGAATGTAGTCGTGTGCCACAGTTTGTATGTCGTGTGCATACATTTGTTAATTAATAGAGCCTGGGTTCGAAACCTGATGCTTACATGTATTCTTGTGTGTCATTATGTATTAAATTGTGTGCCTGATAGTAATTTGTTGTGTGCCCATTATTTGTCCTCACAATCCTCTATATATTGTTGTCCTCATTTGACCTCAACCCTATATATATATATATATATATATATATATATATATATATATATATATATATATATATATATATATATATATATATATATATATATATATATACATACCTATATTGTATTTTAACGCGTTGGAGTGGGTTACCAGCATTATTCGCTGAACAGATATATTTTGCTTTCAGGCACAGATGATTAGCTCCGGAGCGCGCTAGAGGACCCGAGGCTTAGATAGTTAGTTTCCTATTCGTCCTGCGTGCCATAATGATGTAATGACGTTGTTTGAGGATAGTTATATAGTTTAGCCTGTGCATCTGCGTTCTCCAGCTCAGATGTGGCATAGCACCCCAGAAACTTATGCTTAGTATGCTCTGTTTTGGAATTTAATAATAATATTATCTTTAATTCATAAAGCTTGAAAGTTTAAAAATTTAGGCGTGTTACATTCACCATCAACCGGTTCTAGAGAGACGAACTAGTCTTTGTGAGGACACATGTGGAATGTACAACCAGAATCCAGAATCCACTCGGCTTCGCTCCGTTTGCAACCGGAGCTAACAAATAACATAACATCGCCTTCTAAACCACTTTCAACAACACTAGCTTTAGCAGACTTCTTTTCTCTCTCTTGCTTGTTTTTCAGCTTGAAGCATTCAGTCACATCATGACCATGCTTCTTGCAGTACTTACAGGATATGTTGGACTTACCTCATCATGAGTTTTAATCTGCACTCTTCCAATTCCACTAACCTTGCATTGGGTATCATTACCTAGCAAGACAACTTCACCATCAACCGGTTCCAGAGAGACGAACTAGTCTTTGTGAGGACACATGTGGAATGTACAACCAGAATCCAGAATCCACTCGGCTTCGCTCCGTTTGCAACCGGAGCTAACAAATAACATAACATCGCCTTCTGAACTACTTTCAACAACACTAGCTTTAGCAAACTTCTTTTCTCTCTCTTGCTTGTTTTTCAGCTTCAAGCATTCAGTCACATCATGACCATGCTTCTTGCAGTACTTACAGGATTTGTTGGACTTACGTCCTTTGGACTTGGATCTAGATTTTTTTATTGCTACTCTCGGTTTCAAGTGAGCGAACCCTTATAGTCAAGCCTTCACCTTTGTCCTTAGACTTAATTTGTAAGTCAAACATTTCTTTGGACAATAGGTTTGACTTAACACTGTCGAAAGTAAGGGTATCACTACTATTACCATACAACGTAAGTTCTTTGAAATGCTTGTATGATTTATGGAGAGAAACAAGCAATAAAATAGCACGATCCTCATCTTCAATTACAACATCAATATTCTTCAAGTCCAATAAAATAGAATTGAATTCATCCAAGTGAGATTTAATAGATGTACCTTCCGTCATACGGTTTGTGTACAAACGCTCCTTTAGACGCAGCGTGTTCGCCAGAGATTTGGCCATGTAAAGCGAATCCAGCTCGAACCATAAATCTGACGCAGTTGTCTCACTTACTACCTCACGTAAAACCTCTTTAGACATGCACAAAAGAATGGTTGAACGTGCCAGGTCATCCAAATCTTCCTAATCTTCATCTGTAATTGTAGCCGGTTTCTTCTTCTTCTTCCCAGCTAGCGCTTTCTTCAAACCATTCTGGGTTAGAATGGCTTCCATCTGAACCTTCTAGATAGAAAAGTTAATTTTCTCGTCGAACTTCTCGATATCGAACTTGGTAACAATCGACATCTTTAAAAATAATTTTCAATTAAACCGTTGTAATACCACTTGTTAGGAATATAGCAGAATAATGCAGAAATTCTCAATCGTAAATTGAGAATTTTAGAAGTTAAATAATAGAGAAAAAATATAAATGACAAAATAAAGAATAAAAGAATAATTGAATATGTATGTATATATATATATATATATATATATATATATATATATATATATATAGACACACACACGTGAAAGAAAGGAGAGGAGAGAGTTGATGAATAATGAATTGATATTGATGATTGAGTGAGTTACAAAAGCAACAACTCTAATCTATTTATACACTAAGAAATAGAGATAAATGAGGAAAGTAAAATGCGGAGAGCGAATCTCGAATTATTACATGCAGAGCGGATGACCTGAACATGCTTGTTGGTTTAATTGTAACTTTTAAAAATTTAAGGGTCTAATTGACTTTTTAGGTAAAATTTAAGGGCTTATTTGACTATTTTCTTAATTAATTAAATACACAGAAATTAAAATCAAGTTATATATATATATATATATATATATATATATATTTATTTATTTATTTATTTATTTATTTATTTATTGTAAATTAGGTTACGAAAAACTTTAATTATGTACGTGAATGTAAATTTCTTTGATAGACAATGTGTAATGGTGAAGAGATAAATTTCTTATATTTATAAAATACTTTTAATTTGATTTCAAAAAGGATAAAACACAATTAAATAAATTTGATAAATTCTCAGTTATTTGGGAAAAATAATCTTACCCCCTTAGTGAGATTTACTTAATTTCCTTGACATCATGGAATGTGATTCCATTAATCTGAACTTTTCCAAGCCAAAGTTTGCACCAAATGCGGGAATGATTTTTCAAGAAAGTTCAAACTATCCTCGCTACCAAACACCCTCTTATATTGTATAATGTATACAGAATTACAGTTGGCATATGGTCTATCATGGTTAAGCATATTGAGTGGGCAATCATTATTGGGTGGACTATGGTCACACAACTGTTTTGACTGCAAATGAAAAAGTACATTATTTGAATATTAAAAGTACATTATTTTTTAATAATAGCAAATAATGTACATTGAATACACAAATAACATTATGTTGTGCGCACGTGTCCACCTTGCAAGGTGGGCACAGTTCCACAATGGCGTCGTTTTCGGGGGCGTCGTTTTCAACGAAAACGACGCCGTTCTAATTAAAAAAATTGGTTTTCACTTGCCGTTAACGGCGTTTCTCTCTTTGCAATTGCACAGTTTAGAAATTATGAATCTACTGTATTTAAATTATGAATTTACAATATAGAATTATGAATCTACAGTATTAGGTTTGTGAACATGTAATAGAGCTATATGTTCATAATTTTATAAATATATGTTCATAATTATAGAGCTATATGTTCATAATTTTCGATGTTCATATATCCAATTGTTGAATTTTGTATTCACAAATCACAGAACTATATGTTCATAATTTGATAACAATACATTTTAAAAATTATGAATCTACAGTACATATATTATGAATCTGCAGTACAGATATTATGAATCTGCAGTATAGAAATTGTGAATCTACTGTATAAAAATTATGAATGTACTGTATTTAAATTAAGAATCTATGGTTTAGAAATTATGAATCTACAGTATAGATTTTATGAATTTACAGTATAGACATTATAAATCTACAGTATAAAAATTATGAGTCTACATGCAAGGTGGGCACAGTTCCACAGCATAACGCTTCGTAGGGCGGCGCAAATTATGCCCTGGAAACGTGTTCACCATGAATGGTGAACACGGGTCCAAACGGTGTCGTTTTTACGGGAAACTTTTTTTTATTTATTTTTATATTTAATGTGCTGTTAACGACGCGCGTTTGTTCAGATTATGAATTTTCTGTTATGAGATTATGAATGTACTGTAAATTCATAATATCATAATAGAAAATTCATAATCGCATAAAAGAAAAACATTAATTAAATTATGAATTTTCTGTTATGAGATTATGAATTTACAGTTATGTAATTTTGAATTTTCTGTAAATTCATAATCTCATAACAGAAAATTCATAATTTCATAACAGAAAATTCATAATTTCATAACAGAAAATTCATAATTTCATAACAGAAAATTTATAATCTCATAAAAGAAAATTTATAATTTCATAACAGAAAATTCATAATCTCATAAAAGAAAATTCATAATTTCATAACTGCACATTCATAAATCCATGCCTGCACATTCATAATTTATGAATGTTGAAGAAACTTGCGCGAAGAGGAAGTGAAACCGCGAAATGTGAAAATGAAGAAGAAAAGTCATGCGGTTAATTAAGAAAAAAAAAAAAAAAGATAACGGTGCATCGTTACTGTTGGGAGATGGTGAACACGGTTCCATGGCATAACGATTGGTAGGGCGGGCGCAAATTATGTTGTGGACTCGTATCCACAATGAGTCCAAAACGACATCGTTTTAAGGGAAAACGCGGCCTTCCAGTTAAAAAAAGAAAAATTGATTTTGTCTCGCCGTTAACGGCGTTAACGGCATTATTCGTTTGTGGCATTATGAATGTACAGTTATGGAATTATGAATGTACATTTATGGAATTATGAACACAGAGCTCTGACATTATGAACTTACAATTATGAACATATAGTGATAAAATTATGAACATAAAGCTCTAAAATTGTGAACATAGAGTTTCAAAAATTATGAATTTACAGTTATTGAATTATGAATGTACAGTTACGGAATTATGAATGTACAGTTATGCAATTATGAATGTACAGTTATGAAATTATAAACACAGAACTCTGACATTATGAACTTACAATTATGAACATATAGTGATAAAATAATGAACATATACTCTTATAACAAAGTCTGAATTTTTTTTTTAAAAAAAAAGAAAAAGTGGAAGATAACAGTGCCACTAACGGCACCGTTACCGTGTCCAACATGCATACTGGACAATGGGTCCATGGCATAAACAAATTATGCCATGGAAACGTGTCCACCATGAATGGTGAACACGGATCCAAACAGCGCCGTTTTTACGTTAAAAAAAAAAATTGCGAATGTGGTGTTAACAGCGCGCGTTTGGTCAGATTATGAATTTTCTGTTATAAGATTATGAATGTACTGTAAATTCATAATCTCATAACAGAAAATTCATAATCGCATAAAAGAAAAACATTTATTAAATTATGAATTTTCTGTTATGAGATTATGAATTTACTGTAAATTCATAATCTCATAATAGAAAATTCATAATCTCATAATAGAAAATTCATAATTTGTGAATGTTGAAGAAGCTTGCGCTACAGAGGAGCAGCCATGGTTTCGGACGGGAATGTGTAGGCATGGTTCCAAAGTGAATGTGCAGGCATGGATTCATAATTTATGAATCTCCGAAATCATTGCTCACCTCAAATTAAAGTGAAACCGCGAAATGTGAAAATGAATAAGAAAAGTCACGCGATTAATTAAGGAAAAAAAACAAAAGAAAAGATAACGGTGCACTAACATTGTTGGGACCGTGTTCACCACGGATGGTGAACACGGTTCCATGGCATAACGATTGAGCATAACGATTGTAGGGCGGCGGGGTAGGCCTGAGCATCGGTCGGATTCGGACGGATCGGATGTCCAATCCGTCCATCCGATCGGACTTCGGATTTCATTTGTACCCCCTTATCCGTTTATTTTTTTGGACAGATCCTATCGGATTTCATAGGTTCGGATTTCGGATATCCGTTGTCGGATTTCGGATTGAAATCGGATATAATAAATTAAAATAAAAAAAATTCTAAATTCTAAAATAGATAAAAATAATACTGAGTTTCATTACCATAGCGTAGCAACTAGCAAAACATACAAGTATACAACTATAACAGTTTCAAACTAAGTTAATAATTACATATTTTCGAATTTCAATGATTATACAAAAAATCATAGACTTGAGCTGTCAGTACCGGTACTCTTCAGTTCTTCTTCAGCAATTCAGCAAAATCAACACTAATCTAGTCATCTAGATAATCTATTCTTCTTCCTGCTAGTATTCAAACTTAAAATGATATTAGTGTTTAGAGTTTAGAAAACAGACAATCAGACATTTAGAGTAACAATAGTACAATACTAAGCAATTATTCACTAGGCTAAGTGGCTCAGAGTGCATTTTTCCATATCAAGTAAGAATGTGGGCAAATTGCTATGAATGTGTTATATTAACATATTGGCAACATACCAGGCCAACTCCATTCCATTTATTCAGACAATAGTGGAAGCTTCATCATAGCCACCAAATAAAACAAATACATTCAAACTGAAAACAGGACAAGGAAGAGTTATACCAGAATTCCAGAGTGCAGAGAAATGGGCAAAATTGGGCTCAACTCATCTAATGGCAGCAACAAATCAATAACAGAAAGTTGCCAAGCCAATTAGAGGCTAAACACCACTTGCAACAACATCAGTACATAACAGAATATCAAACTCAATAAAGAAATGAACACATTGTAAACTGATATTAAAAACATTACAGTGATTGTAGGCAACATTGATGGTATAGTAGATGAAGCTCCAGTGGGCAATTCTGCAAAAGTGAAAAAACATAATAAGTAAGAAAGAAAGTGAAAAGGAAATAAACTTAGTAGAATAAAAAAAAGTAACTAAGAAAGCGATAAGTGTTACCTTTCTCTAATCTTTCAACCTCCTCTAGGTTCTCCTCAACTTGGATTGGCTGATTAGGTGCCCTCAACCAATCTTGAGTACATATTAGTGCTTCCACTATTTTAGGAGTCAAGAAACTCCTAAATGGATCAAGTACCCTTCCAGATGTACTAAAACAGCTCTCAGAAGCAACTGTGGAGATAGGAACTGCAAAGACATCTCTAGCTATTTTGGAGAGAATAGGAAATCTCTCACTATGGCTCTTCCACCACTTTAACACATCAAAAGCAACAGATTCATCATCCTCCACAAGACTTTCACTTGAGTATACTTGCAGCTCAGTTTGCTTACTGCTTCCACTACTTTCCAATCTCTTTTTTTTTTTTAAGTTGGCTCTTCAAAGATGACTGAGGCCTACCAACTGTACAAGTAGTAGCCTGGTTAGCCTCAGACTGGACTGCTTGAGTAGAGGATGCTGTCTGGGTAGAACTAAGAGAGTATGTAGCTGCATAGTCATCATATAAAGCAGCCATTGCAGATTGGACCTTGGTAAAACAAGCTTTGCCTTTCTCTTCTTCATACAACTGGACAAATTGATGAGGCATGTACTCCAACTTATCTCTGGGGTCCAGAATATTGGCAAAAAAAAATGATAGAGTTCATTTTTTCTGGATTCCCCCAATATTTGTCAAACTTGTTCCTCATTTGTGTCCCCATTGCCTAAAACAGAAAAAAAAAACAATTTATTAGTTTACAGAATTACAGGAAATACAAAAAACAATAAGCAAACAAATTGAAAGATAAATGAGATTACCTTTTCAGTCCCTTGCTCAGAGTTCACCATAGCTTCAAGCATGCAACTAAGATCAGAGATCTCAGAGAAGAATGTGTTGGATGTGACATAAAGTGAACCAGAGATCCTCACTGTCATATCATAAAATGCTTTCAACAGCTTCACAAAGCTTTCCACAGAACACCAATCCAAGAAGGTAGGAGCACTCCCCAAGTCAGCAGAATAAGAGGGGTCATTTCTCTCATATGCATCAAACACTACTTGATATTGAATTGCAGTGTTGAGCATAATGTAGGTGCTGTTCCACCTTGTAGGGACATCAAGATGCAAAGCAGATTTAGCTTCCACACCAAACAGTTCAGCAAACTCTCTGAACTTTGTCAGCCTAGCTGGTGAGTTCCTAACCCATCTCACTGCATCCCTCACCCTCTTAACTGACTCATCTGCAAACTTCAACCCATCTTGGACCACTAAATTGAGGATATGGGCTATGCACCTCATGTGCATGTACTGAACCTTAACAGAAGAAGAACCCCAAGATAACAGTTTACTCTTAAAAAACCCCATAGCTGTGTCATTAGAGGATGCATTATCCACTGTTACAGTAAACACATTCTTAATTCCCCACTCTAATAAACAACTCTCTAGGGCTTTTGCAATGTACTCCCCCTTATGAGAAGAAACTGGGACAAAGGATATAATTTTTTTATGAAGCTTCCACTGGTCATCTAAAAAATGTGCAGTAATGCACATATAGTTGATTCTCTGGACAGAAGTCCATGTATCTGTTGTTAGACTAACCCTTTGAGTTCCCACTCTAAAAAACTTCTTAAGGTTTAGCCTCTCATCAAGAAATATTTGGTAGATGTCCCTAGAAATGGTCCACCTAGAAGGGATAAGAAACCTAGGACAAGCAACCAGAATAAACCTCTTGAACCCCTGGCCCTCTACAAACCTAAAAGGGAGCTCATCTATGATTATCATCTCACAAAGGGCACTCCTAATGGCATCTTGATTAAACACCCATGTCCCCAAAACACCCCCAGGAGCCTCTGTTCTACCCCTCAGAAGTGGACAGAGTGTTGAATGTGAGTAGAGACTGCCTTGTATCATTTGAATGGGGATTTTTAAGACAACTGGCCATATGATTTCTTAATGATGATGTGCCATGTTTTTTAGTTTCACAAAAATACTCTTTTGCACAATAAAGGCATTTGCCTTTAAGCACTTTTTTAGTTTCAGGATCTTTGATCTGTTCAAAGTGCTCCCACACTATGGATCTAGACTCTATTTCCTTCCTCTTCTTAACAGCAGGAACTTTAGGAGTGGCCATAGGCTGTTGAGCACTTGTCTCAATGCCTGGGGTTTGTACTCCTTGTTCATCCACTGTTGAAGATGGAAGAGGTCCAATTCCACTTCCACTTATATTTTGATTGCTCTCCATCTATAAAGATTTATGGATGAGCAAATAGGATTCAAATTTCACACAAGCACACATAAGGCCATACACTGTCAGTCTGTCACAGTGATATGTATTCCATAATCAGGATTCATGATTCATGAACTCCTCATTTTATGGACTCCTGATTTTAGGACTTAACAGAAAACACTCAGTACTGAGTACTGACATACATAATTACATATAACACATTAACAAATTCATTCCATAATCAGGAGTCATGAATCATGAACACATCATTTTATGGAAATGCCCACAAATTAGGGCTTAACACTTAACAGTAAACACTTAGTATTGAGTATTGACATACATAATTACATATAACACATTAACAAATTCATTCCATAATCAGGAGTCATGATTCATGAATCATGAACTCATCATTTTATGGAAATGCCCACAAATTAGGGCTTAACACTTCCACAATCAACCATCAACCCATCAACAATTCAAGTATTCAACAACATTCAACAGTATTCATTCCAATTTGCAAATTCCAACAGTCAACTATTAGCATTCAACATGGACATCATAAATTCATAATATCAATTACAAATTCAGTAGGCTTCCACAGTTCCACACTTCCACCACCACCATACATTTTGAAATAACAAATTTAAGGGTCCTTTAACCATAAACTTACAAACACATATCATAATAAGCACAAATTCATCACGTATGTGAAAAAACCTTAAAAATTAGGGTTCAGTTACAAATTAGGGTGCATGCAACATCATAGAACTAGAACAAAACAGACAAACTCACAAACATGCAACAGGAAAATAAGAAAAAAAATGACAGAGTTACATTTTACTTGTTTTCTCAAAGGTTCCCTCTGAGATCTACGGCTTCAAGGCGTCAAACTTCCACTTCCACTGCCGTCCGGCTTCTTCCTTCTTGCCGTCTTTCCAGTTTGCACAGAGCCACAGACACTTCCACAAGATTCCCGTCGAACTGTTGAAGACTCGAAGCCTCGAAGGAGTCGAAGGGGAGTTCAGACTCTCAGACTTCAGATACTCTCAGTTGAGACTCAGAGTTCAGACTTCAGAGAATCAGAGATTCACCGGAGAAGAAGGAGATTATGGAAGAAGATTAGATGAGAAGGACTGAAGATCGGATGGGGATGGCTAGAGGAGAGTAGGAGACTAAGGAGATTTCGAGAAGAAGCTCTGGGGAGTGGGGAGTGGCCGAGTGGAGAGTCAGAGAATGAGAGAATGGCAAACCCTAGGTCTACGCAACGTTTTATACTTAGGCCATATTTCGGATCTCGGACGGGTTCGGATGGGATATTTCCTAACCCTACCCGTCCGTCTTTAATAGCCACGTTGCTTGGGGTCGGTTCGGATATCACCCGAACCCGTCAGATTTCATCTCCCTTCGGTGAGCGCTGGTTCGGGTCGGGCGAATTCTTCGAGTAGTTCGGGTATTGCACAGCCCTACGGCGGGGTGAGCTTTTGTACTCGAGCTCCAAGCCCAATTGTTTCTGGGCTGTGAGATAGAATATCTCTTTCTGGGCCTATTCCAAAAAAAAAAAATCTCTTTCTGGGCCTTAGATCTATGCCAAAGTAGGTGACACGTATACGCGCCTTCGCACTGCGTGTTAACTAACGAATTGGTTCAACATTTTTTCCTCATCAGATTTGCTTCTCAACATTTGTTGATCAATTATCATTTAATCCCGCAGGCACATTTCATTATATGCGAATCTATCTATATGCATATATAATTTAACTTCAAGAGTTTTCAATCAAGGCCATTCAGTTCAGATCTTCGTATGTAGGAAAAACCGTTTTTTTAGACTACTCTTCGACCCATCCGGGGATTTTCTGGAGGACAGATCCACCACTGAAGTTGTGAAATTGATCAGTTCAGAATCTTGTGTTGGAGAAACTCAAGTCTTGATGCGTATTATTGGGTGGTGATTGAAGGGGGTTAGTGTTGATCCATTGCTGGTGTGCGATATGGGTTTTGGGTTCAAAGTCGAAGGAGCCTTTTGATGAACTTTTCTTGTTTGTGTTTATAGTTGAGGTTTCTTGAGCAGGAGAATATGTTTTGGAGGGAAAGGGAGCGGGAGAGCAAAGTGCAGAATGGCGGTCCGCCTTGTGGACAGGTCAGGGTGCTTCTTGTTGGAGACTCAGGTACTCAAGCTTAAACCAATATTTCTTGTTCACTAAATTGTGTAAATTAACTTGTTTGCATCTTTTTTTAAAGTTTGTCTATTTTGAAATTATTATTGTTCTATTGGTTGGAATCTGTAAGTTGTTTTTGGTTACTTGAAGAGCGGGAAATATGTGAATACATGGTGATTCTATGTTTAGGTCCATTTTCAGGAAAAATTAACTGTTTGCTAGAACTTTTAGAACTGTAAAGTTCTACCATTCACAATGACATAGGAACGTTTTTTGGGTATTAAGAGTGGGGGAGGGAGGTGGATAGATTATGTTCAGTCGAGGGCTGTTATGAGAAGTTGTCTGGCTTTAGATGATGGTAGATATAGAAAAGCAAGGGGTCATAAAAGGGGAATTTCATTATTTGCCCGCAGAGTAGATGATCCATAGATTCCTTATTAAGGCACCTAGGCAGATTTTTGCAACACTGGCTAATCATGTGGAAGACAGAAGTACTGATGATTCAAGGATGCTGCTCAATCTCTGCATATAATGGAGCAAAAACCAAAAATGCATCCAGGCCTATTTTGGTTTTTGGAAGTGGTGCAGAGATGGTGTTGACACCTTGATACTGTTTTTAAGCTCCTTTGGACAGGCTTTAGGTCCCTTGACTGGTATTTATTTTCACCTCTCTTTGGTGCAAGTGCTTTTGTCTCCAACAGATTATCACTGATTTAGAAAGCGAGACCTACATGGGAATGATGACTTGCAGACAAGTCTCTTACTTCCTATTCTGGCAGAAGCATACTGTTAATATCATCACCTCGGTGTAAAAGATTACAAATTTCTCAAGTAACTATCTAAGAGAGCCAATTTGATAAATATTTTAGAGAAACCAGAATACTTTATGAACTGATTGTTGAGTGAACACAACAAGGACTTTCTTATGTAAAATAGCTGTAAATGTCCTTGAAGCGTGAAATTTGAATGGGTAATTAACTAACCTACTCCAAATTGCATTCTATTCATTATTGTCTGCTTTGAACCTTTGCTTTGTAGAATTACACTTTTTGACTATAAGATGAATGGCTTTAGATATTTTTAGCTGATACTTGATGAAGTTTTAATGTATCAAATTCTGTGTGCCACATTTACTGATTCACATTCAGTGATTAATTGTGCATGGTCATGCATGCCGGGCATATACTTTGACCTCGTTATTGACCTTCATGTTAACACTATTTTTGGTTAGGTGTGGGAAAGACCTCTCTTGTTCATCTGATTATGAAAGGCTCTTCCATTGCTCGCCCTCCTCAAACAATTGGTTGTTCAGTAAGTGTGAAGGTAAGATGTGCATTTAATGTGTCTCTAATTGTAATTCTAGTTGAGCTGAGATGCAATATCAGTCATATTTAACGTTTTACTGTGTATTCTTTGTAGCATATTACTTATGGGAATTCTGGTAGTTCATCAAGTGGCTCCCAAAACGACAGTGAAAGAGACTTTTTTGTTGAGCTTTGGGATATATGTGGACATGACCGATACAAAGATTGCCGATCTCTATTCTACTCTCAAATCAATGGTGAGCAATGCCTTTTACTGCTGCTTTCTCAACAAAAAGAAAAAAATAAAATAAAATCCCTTTCAATTATATGTTGGAAATGCTATCCCAGTGCAGCCTAAGTTTAATATGTCAAAAGAACATCAGCACAATTTTATTTATTTATTTTTTCTGTGGCAGAACTTGTTTTCATATCGTTATGGTTTCAGAATTATGATTTACATATAAAAAGGATTATTTCTTATCCCACATTCCAGCCATATTCTTTTCCGTTCATGTTAGGAAGCATATCATTGGTTAATCACTAAAAAAATCTTGATAAAATTCATTAGAGAATATATATGATTTTAATTTGTATCCTCTGATCAAATTTCTAGTTTAGGTGTTGTTTTTATCTACGATCTCTCTCAAAGAAGGACAAAGTCAAGCTTGAACAAGTGGGCTGCAGAAATTGCAGCCACAGGAACCTTCTCAGCTCCTCTAGCTTCCGGAGGTCCTGGTGGCCTTCCAGTTCCTTACATTGTCATTGGCAATAAAGTGGATATTGCATCAAAAGAGGGCACTAGAGGGAGCAGTGGAAATCTTGTTGATGTAGCTCGGCAGTGGGTTGAGAAGCAGGGTTTTCTGCCATCAAGTGAAGAACTTCCATTGACTGAAAGTTTCCCTGGCAATGGAGGCATTTTTGCGGTAAATTTGTAATTAACAACCTATTCAGAACTTGCTTCAATGCTTCATTATCTTTTTTTTTTTTTTTTTTTTTTTTTTTTTTTTTTTCTGTTTTTTATTTATTTATTTTCGAGTTAGTAGAGCACATTTGTTTCCTTTTGCTATGAATAATAATTTTCCTTGTCAAGGAAACATAACTTAGGGTGTAAGATTGCTAGCAGTATGATGCCTGCATGATTTTTAAAAAAATAGTAATAATAAAACTTACTTTTCACTCTTCTTCATGTTCCTTTAATTATCCTTTTCTTTATTAAGCATGCTCTTTTATATAATCGGTTAGAGCATTGATTTTCACTTCCTGGATCATAATGCATGTAAAAAGAACTGGATTATAAAAAATTTTAAAAAGTTAAAAAAAAAAAGAAAAATAAATAAGGAATCACTGATGCTGAAAATAAATTAAGTATTTGCTCCTTTGTTCTATTAGTTTTCCTAAAAGAATTTTATAGACAAACCTCTTCACCTAAGCAAAAGATCTGTCATTGCTTCATTTTCCTAATTGATATTTGGGTCAGTGCCTGTGAATATCCCTTAGTTCTATGATTTCTATCCTTTGTTTTATAAATATAGTTCAATTCTCAAAGAACTGACTGCCGTGTTCAACCATTTTCTTGTTATAAAGGGAAGGTGAAATTTGCTGCTAATTCTAGAGATTAAAAATTTCTACAATTGTTTCTGAAATTTCTCTGTAAAAGACACTATATTGACAACAGGCCTTTCGTTTATCCAGTGAGCTCAATCATTCACTAATTAGGATATGGACACCGGAAGGTGATGGTATATGTTACAACCTAGCACATTGTGAATCTAGAGGTTTCTAATATTCTATGTTAGAGTGCTACATGGTTAAACTACAAAAAGGATCATGGTTTAGACTGATTCAATTTTTGTCACAAGTAATCCACATAGTAGATTAAGTGAATGCTGTGAATATGCTATCTACTTTTTGAAAGAACATAATCATTAACCACTATTTGAAACATGTTATTCTTTTTCCCTGCCTCCATGCATTGATATTTACTCTTATTTTGAACTGTGCAGGCTGCTAAAGAAGCAAGATATGACAAGGAAGCTTTGCAGAAATTTTTTCGCATGGTCTGTACTTTTTCCCTTATACATCTATCATAATGACATAGCGTCTTTATACTGGCATATTGAAGTACCCTTGGGAACTGTTCTCAGTTGATAAGGAGGAGATACTTTTCGGATGACTTGCCCGGAAGCCCTTGGACTACCTCAGTTCACAAACCATTGCAGCGGAGTGAAATATCAAGTGATGAGGATAACTCATACAAGAGTTCAAGTTCAAGGTACATCACTACACCATTTATCATTGCTTATTTTCCTCTTATATTGAAATCCCTAATTCCCTATCTAAATGAGAAGGATAATGCTTAGTACCCCTACACCTACCACTCATAAACTTGCCACTCCCTATGTGGCAAGTTGTAATTGGTTAAGATATGGAAAAAAAAAAACCGGGGAGTGGCAAGTTTGTGAGTAGTAAATGTAGGGCTACTAGGCATTTTCGAAATGAGAATTAGTCTCATATTCATTGGTTTCTATGCTGTTCATTTCTGTCTTAGGTATTTATCATTGACATAAGAATTATATGTATTTGATTTCTATTTTTTTTTCCTGCTCTTCACTGCAGTTTCATTGCGGACCCTTATAAATACAATGCACTCCCTCCCCTACCAGCACAACGTAATCTCACGCCACCTCCCACGCTTTATCCGCAGCAACCAATGTTAACTCCCGATAATTATAGCATCCCCAGATTCGCTTTGACAAGCTCCCAAGAAATCAGCAGCACCAGATCTAAGCGTACAGATATTAATGTTTAATGATCTTGATTCTTTTAGTCACATCATAGAGTACATCTTCAAAGTTGGCTTATATTGGTCTTTATGATGATATTGTTATTCTGTAAAATGTTCTCTTAGAGCTTTAACTCATCAAAGTGTTCTTTTTCAGTGTGAAAAGTATGATATGATGATAGTCCACCCTGAAAAACAGTTCAGTGTCTTGCAAACTTCATTAAAATTTCCTCTTCTTTTCAGTGGCAAGGGAATTTGGGTTTTCTTGTGGGATTTGTCTTACGGACCACAATTCTATTGGATTGAATATTGAATTTATAATCTTTTGGTTAGAGCTACAAGTTTGTCTTATGTTTTTACTTATCAACTAGCTTCTGTCCATTTGCAACTCATATCATCATCATCATTATGATGATGTAGTTTGACTTTCACATGCAAGAAACAGTGACTATTTTTTCTTGATTTTTAGGGTTTGGATTGGGGTAAATAAGAGAATGGGATGACATTTCTTTTATTTATTTATTTTTGAAAGTATTACGTTTTAATCATTGATGTCTTTTTTTTTTTTTTTTTTTTTTTTTTTTTGGAATAAGAGTAAGGAATAGAGAACTATTTTGTATAATGAGTGAGTCTATTGTGAAACTTCTATGAGAGGCGTCAGGTCTTGATGAGAATATAATACTTATGCTAAAAAATATAATATTAATTATGAATAAATTGTTTATTACTTATAAGAAAAAAAAAAGTAATATTTTTGAGAGAAAAATGTAATATTTAGGGTTATAATTACTTATGAAAAAAATTGTACTTTGTAATATATATGACGAAAAATATATTACTTTTAAATCAAAATGTAATATTAAGAATTAATAGTTACTTATGAAAATTGTAATATTGGGTACTTAATTAAGAAAATGTAATATCTATAAAAAATTTGATCTTGATATGATTTTTTAGTAAACACGTGCACAACCTTGTTTGTAGGTTGTGTAGGCAACAAAAGCTGATATTCGTCACTAATGGATCCATGGTATTATTTTTATCTAGTTGGAGTATCTCTTGATTTCTCCCATGTGAACTGTTTGCTTTCAAACTCAAAATCCTTTAGACCGGCACAACTAGCAATTAATTCTTTTAAACCCCCTAATCAACATTTTTCGTATGGTTCTAATATGTCATTGAAATCCCTAATTACATCCCAAGAGAGGGAACTAAGGGTTGAAAGGTGTTTTAAGAACCGCTATGCCTCCCTTATTCTGCTTCTTTCTAGAAAACTGTAGTACCTGATGAACATCTATATATCTTGACTTCCTTCTAAATGAATCATTGCATCAATATAATTGTGAAAATACCCAGTAACTATGACATCGTTCCCTTCTTTCCATAGCAAAGCCAACCCACCTATCTGACCCAAATTGTCAACCTCAAATAACTTGGAAAAGCCCATCTTCATTTTAGGGCCCGTTTGGAAAGCAAAAAAAAATGACTTCTGGATATGTTTTATGAAAAAATGAGTCATTTTTTGGAAAACATTTTCCTATCTCGTGTTTGGCTGCAGCAGAAAATTGTCTTTGTGTGTTTGGTTCATTTTTTGAAAAATGAGGTAGAATTGTATAACTAGACATTTTATATAATTAATTATTTTGTTTAAAATAAATAAATATTTATAATAATATTTATTTTTGAAATCAAATAATATTAATTATTAAAAATTTTAAAAATTAAAAACAAAAACGGAAAATGGCTTGGTTTTTCCCAGTCAACGAAAAATGTTTTCCGTTGACTGGGTTTTCCAATCCCATCCAAACATGAGAAACCAGGAAAATGATTTCCAGAAATTATTTTCCAGGTTTCCAAACACAACCTTAGTGAGTTGGAATTTATTTGTAACAATAAGAGCACGTTTACTAACAGAAGAATTTCTTTAGTTTTCTAGAAAATTGAAGAATTCGATAATAGAAAATAGAAAACATGTTTACTAGCACAATTTTTCATTTTAAAAACGGAAAACAATATTCAGTTTTCTAGAGAATTGAAGAATTTTTAAACATTATTTTCTAAATGAAAAATAGAATCTCAGATATGATTCCTTTCAAATCTTCATCTTGTTCTACTCCGTTCTGTGCTCAAAACTCAACCCGGAGGCTTCGCGTTATGGATGGTGCTTTATAAAGTGTTTTGGATGAAAGGGACGTGGCTCTTGGAAGGTTAATAACTTAGTTTCTTTAGGATTTTCTTTTGGATAGAAATTTCGCATCTCACGAAGGAAAATAGAAGCTTACATACACACAAGGAAAATACACTTAGAGGGGTTTAAATACACTTATTCAGGCCCGGGGGAAGGAAAAGGTGCCCGAGCAGGGCGTGACCGAGGTTGGCGGTATCAAGCGCCGCCGAGAGCAGCGCAGCCCGAGCCCCTCGTCCGGACGAAATAAGGACGAATCGTCCATACTGGCCCGTATCGGCAACGCCGGGCCAGTCAGAGAGGATCTGGGGAAGATGACCCCGACTCAGGTGGCCAAAAGGATCGGTCACGACCTGGCCGAGGTAAGCACCTTGTTCTTTTGATTTTTCACACAAGTGTTTCTGACCGGGCTAACTCTGATCGCCTTTTGCATTGCAGATCTCCCGAGCGGCCCAGCTTCTGCAAGGTCGGGCCATGCTGGCCGAGGAGGCCGACCGCCACAAGAAGACCGCTGCCCGACGCCTTCAAGAGGTCAAGGACATCCAGGCCGAGCTGGAGAAGGTCCAGAAGGGCCTTAAGAAGAGCGAGGAAGATCGGGTCCTGGCGGAGAAGGTCGCGCAACGGGCGATCGGGGAAGCCTCGGAGCTGAAGGCCCGACTGGAGAACCCGAACGAGCTGGCCCAGTCGGCTTTCAAAGACAACGAAACGGGCTCAGCATTCCTAACGGCGGCCCGGCGGACGAAGATCGGGAAGGACCTGATCCTATCTTTCGGTCGGTGGGCCTTCAAAGCCGGGCAGAGGAAAATGCTCGAGAGGGCCCAGAAACGACTGGGGCAAGCTCTTGAAGGAGACGACCTCCAGCTTGTACTGTCTGCACTCCCTCCGGACCTTGCTGACCCCGGTCCCTCTCCGTTCGCCCCGAAGGACAAAGCGGCCGACCCGAGTGGGCCTACAGCGGCTGTTCCGAGCGAGGCGGAAGCTTCCAAGAAAGGGGAGGCCACGGGGGCGAAGAAGTAGAAATAGGTTCTACTTCTTTTTTGTAAAGTGACGATGATCGGGAGCCCGGTCCCGAGTTTGTACCGGGCACTCTTCTCATTAATGAAATTCATTTTTTGTCAAACTTGTGTAACCCACTTTTTATTCGCACTTCTAACTTTTATCCGTGCATACGCCGACCCTTAGCACACGACCTCATGGCCTACTGGCCCGGTCATGCACCAATCGACTTGTCTGACACTCGACCTTGTGGCCTTATGGCCCGGTCGTGCATCCGAGGTTTCGACGTCAAGCTGGCCTACCCTGTATCAGGTTTACCCGATTTCCTGGCCTTGTCGAAATTTTTGAAGATAGGTAAGCCTCCACGGTCGGGGTTTTCCCGAACAACGGGATGGACGGGCCTACCATCCCAGCCCCCACACTATTGTGCCCTCGAGGCACGAGCTGGTGCGATAGTGGAAAGAAGTTGGACGGATCGGGGAATTATGCTGGGAGCTCTGGCTTTCCCGATCGGTGGCGTGACCCAATTTTCCGCCGAAGAGGAGCGCATTGGACTGTTCGACTGACTCGCCCGGTCGATGTGACTTGTACTGAAATGTCCTGCATGCAATGAAGGTAAAGAAAATAACCGACCGGGCCGCCGTGTGCAAACGGTCGAGCAATCACCGATCGTATATAATTGAACCTTCCCGCTCGCAGGCGGTTGAATAAATATTTACAATAATAAATGGAAATATACATGACGATCGGGACTAACTCGCAGGTCGAGCCCCCACTTCGTCCAAAAATTACAAAAAATAGGCTAATGCCTAAATATGACGAGGTGTTCGGAATTCCAAGTCCCCTCGATTACCCGACCGGTTGTCGTTTCCAGTCGGTATGTCCCCGGTCGGACGACCGCGCTGATGACGTACGGCCCCTCCCAATTTTGAGCTAGCTTTCCACCTTCCAAAGGTGACTGGCCTCCCTTCGTCGTAAAACGTAATCTCCCACCTGAAAATAACGAGGGTTGACCCGGACATCCTTTGAACTTTTGACGCGCTTCTGATACTCGTCCATACGCCGAGCGGCTAGCTCTCTCTTCTCTTCGACCCCATCAAGATCCACGACCATCGCATGTTCGTTCTCCTCCGCGTTGTAAGTTCTTTCTCGATCGGTCGGGATCCAAGCCTCGATCGGGAGTCGAGCTTCTGCTCCATAAACCAGGGCGAAAGGGGTCTCCAAAGTAGCCTCCCTCGGGGTCGTCCGATAAGTCCACAATACGTATGGCAACTCATCGGCCCAACTACGACCAGCTGAGTGTAGCTTCTTTTTTAGACCCTCCAAAATTGTCCGGTTGGCATTCTCTACTTGTCCATTTCCCTGCGGGTAAGCCACCGACGACCGGACGTGGGTCGTCCCGATCGTGGCCAAGAAGTTTTGGAAATACTGGCTTACGAATTGGCGGCCGTTGTCGCTGATGAGATGCACAAGCACGCCAAAGCGGGAAATCACATTGCGCCAAAGGAACCGAGCACACTGCTGAGAGGTGATCATGGCTAACGGCTCGGCTTCAATCCACTTGGAAAAATAGTCAATGGCGACAATCACGAACTTTCTTCGACTGGAGAGTTGAGGGAAGGGACCCAAAATGTCTACCCCCCACCTAGCAAAGGGAATTGCAGTCGTGACCGGCTGATAGAAGGTTGCCGGTCGTCTAGGCATCCGGGCGAACAGTTGGCACGTCTCGCATTCCCGAGCTAACTTTTCACAGTCTAGCTGGAGGGACGGCCAATAGTACCCGATCAACATGATACGACGGGCTAACGATCGGCCTCCTTGGTGTGAAGAACATATACCCGAATGCAATTCCTTCATGACCAAATCGGCCTCAAATGCGGTCAAGCAACGCATAAGAGGACCTCCATACGATCGCCTATAAAGTCGACCGTCCAAGACTTGGAACCTCGGGGCTCTTAGCTTGGCCTTCCGAGCACGCTGGGGGTCGTCTGGGAGCCGACCGTGCTCGAGGAACTCCTTTAGATCGGTGATCCAATTGTCTTCTACCGGTTGGATTGGATTGACCGGCAGGCGATGGATGCTGTGTCTCGGGATCACCAGAATCCGGGCTGTCTTCGACATGTGTTCCGGGGCGTCTTGAGCCAATTTGGACAA